TTTCCAGCGGCTCGATGTGGCACGGGGAGCCTCCGGCTGCAAAATACTTGGATGGCCACTGCCGCCTGGTGGTCACATCCACGGCTGTTCTGCAGGGCTTATACACTTGGTCGGTAGTTTTTTTGGTACGTTCGTGTGAGGAAAAAAAATTAACTAAATGCGGTAGCATAGTTTTGGCTGGATAATTTTTCATGCCCAACCCCCCGTATTTAGCAGTGAGCTTTTATGTTGTCTCTTTCTCTTTCTGAAGTGTCCTTTTTTTACATACAAGTAAAGCTGCAACGTGTTTGCTTGCTATGCTTTCCCTGTCACTGCATGTTATTTTTACTGCATGCTGTTTGTATTGCCGAAGATCATTAATCTGTTTTTCAAAACAACATCTTTTAAATTACTGCCCTCTAAAGAATCCTTGGGATTACCTTGTTTTAGTCTGTATGATGAAAAAATATGTCAGATATTTGAAAAGGAATTGGCTTTGCTTGCTTTTATCTGTGTTCTTATTTGTTACGGGGTCAAAAGTAAGTGTGTATGTGCCTTTTAAAAGAAAAATTACTGTAAGATGTCCTTTTTTTTTTCTCTCTCTCTACTGCTGCTTCTGTATCAGGAGTCAGTATGTTACTGCAAACATGCACGTTAGCCCAGCAGCAGATGAACAGTTAACTGCTGCTTTAAATGACCGAATCATTAAGTGCAGCGTCACCAGATTCAGCAGAGGACACAGCTTAGTCTCTCATAATTATGCTGTACCCACAGCACTGTTAGCAGCAGCCTCCCTCTTTGTGCATCAGGTAAGGAACTGTGTATGTGAAACATCAAATTGAAGTGGTACATTTCTTTATTGTTGCTGATGCCTGAAGGCAACCGCCTCGGCAGGCAGAGCTGTCAGGTCTGCCAGGTGTTCTGCAAGGTGCAGTATGCCAGTTGGGAAGTATGTGAGTGCCAAAGAGCTGGGGGGGGGGTCTTGTTCCTTTTGCACCATCCGCTGCCACTTCTTCTTACCTTTCGACAGCTACGGGGTGCTTTCTGGACTGCTCTGTGAGCCGACAGTTTTCTGTTGGATTATTGCATAACTCAAAGGGAGGAAGAAAAAGAGAATTACTGTGAAGTTCCTGAGTTTGAACTGTCTCATGAAAAGACGTGACAGGCATCAGAGGTGGTTAGAGGAGACAGTTGGGACTGCATAGCCAGGAGTGAAGAGGAGCAGGAAGCAAGATGTGCTCTTTCATCAGTTGCAAGCTATTTTGCTGGCATACTGAAGTAAACTGAAATCAGTGGCTGTAGTGAACTAGAGTTTCTCAGAATTGGACACGCTGCCTGTTCTCTGCTCTGTCTCATGAGGTGATGGACCTGTGTTACCAGAGCTCAGGAACCAAAGCCCAGTGCGGATCAATGTCTGAATCCATGGCTAAAAGCCAGGATGTTTTGAGTTCTACCTGACAGTATCACTGGAAAAAAAGAAAAGATGACTTTCTGCTGTATCATATTCTTTTAGAAAAAAACCTAACACTCCCTACATTCTCCACCCCCCCCGAGTATTCTGGCTGATATTTCAACACTTTGCTGTAGATTTCTGTTCAATTTTTTATTTGCTTTTCAGTTTTATTTTTAAAATTAGTTTCCTCTCTAAATCTGCCTAAGCCAAATTTTACTGTGGTAAATGGCTTAGAACATTCTCCCCTGTTCTGATAGTAATTTTCAGACCTCATGGTTGTATCCCTTTTTTTTTTGGCTCACCTGTTTTTCCTAGTGCTTTTTTCTGAGGTGCTTTTGACTTACCTCTGAGAGATAAGTTTGGCAGATACCTGGCAAACACAGGTAGTATTTTTCTACTTCTTTCAATGCAGTACTGGTGTACAGTAACTTTAGATAAATGAGAACTTCGTATGAATACTGTCCAAACTCTATATAGGCTTTGCTTTTTCTGTTGGAGAAATGGTGGTTCTTCAGCCATCACTGAAATGTGACAGCTGCTCGGCTGTGTTGTGTTTGAGGCCAGAAGAAAAGATGGTGCCACATCCAGAGGAAATAGAGAAACTTAGGTAGGCAGATGTAGTTTACAGATTTGGAATATGATGAGGATGCTGGCGTTCATTTTCTGCTTTTACGCAGGGTCCATTGTTTCTTTAATAATCAGATCCATATGATGCTCTGAAAAGCCTGGAATGAAAGCTGAATCATAAAGGCTGATTCTTGCAGGACTTAAGACTCTCTGGTTTTGTCTGTGGTTTTTTTTGTGTTTTTTTTTTTCTTTCCCTCTCAAATACAACTCTTACTGAAGCACTGTTGAGATGTCATATTCTTGACATAATGTTAATTCAGGCCCCAGAAAACACAGATGATTAAAATTATTGGATGTTTGCCCATCGTTGTAACATAGGCATATAGTTTAGGAGGATGGCAATATGTTGGGGGGAGGATATCACATTCCCCGTGTGCTGCCTGCTTTAAGAACTGAAACTCGTGACAGCTGTGGTCTTCAAGGTCATGCCTTCCAATGTAAATGAGCATCTTGCTGTTATCAGGTGTGTCTCGTGGTCTTCATGGCCACCACTATTCTCATCTCCTTATGGATGAAATTCCTGGGAAATAACCAAAGTTTATGCAGCTCAACACACTTTAAAGTGGAACTTTTGAGCTAAGCAATACACAAACTACTTTGTACAGACACAACTTCATGTCGAGTGTGGATGGGTTTTGGGGTGCTTATTTCTAGTGGGTGACTTAAAGGAAGTAACACCAAAGTCCTGTGGATACTTTCAGGATCTCTGTTCTAGAGCATGCTAAAAAATCCCTTGGCTTTCTGGTCATCTTGAGGGCCCTCTCTCTTTCATACCTCCCAGTATGCAGGGGGGAGGTTGTTATTAGAGTTGTGCTTTAGATGTAAGGAGGCTTAAACTTATTTTCCTCTCCCTCTATCTACCTAGTGGAAAAATCCATTGTCCTAGCTATTATTTGTGATACTTCCTTTTCAGTTCTCACAGCTAGCCTACAACAAATCTCTGGCTCTTGCATAAACTGACTCGTCTGAAGCCATCACACAGAGATATGGTGTGAGCCGTTTCCTTTTGTTTGAATGATGTGGCAGGGGGAGGGGGAGGGGAAAGTGGTCTTGGCCCTACAAGTTGCTTAACTAAATCTTTAAGCAGCTGAGAACTGCAAAACATATGTCCATACTTCAGAGAGTTGTCTGGAATACTAGAAGTATTCCAGGCAATTCTCTGAATTTAAATGTGGAGGTTTTTGGTGTAATACTGTATTTGCTGATAACAGCAAACTTCAAAAGTGTTCCTCTGTGCTTATAACATCTTAGTCTTTGGACAGATGTCTTGGATGCTGGTGTCTCCCCAGCACCTGGAGGAGCAAGCTCCACTCAAAGATCTGTGTTGTCCCTTCCTTGTTAATTGTCACATGAATTTCTGAGCAAATTTATTCCAGTCTTGATATTTAATTCATTGTGAAAAATCTGCATGATTAAAATGTAACAGCAATGTTTGTGGTATCTTTTTGTGGTTTTATTTTTTACTTTCTCTGGGTGGTGGAGGAAGGGGAGCAAACAGCAGAATAGTAACAGAAAGTCAGAGTACTTGTTTATGCAGCCACTTCCCTTGTGTGCAGTGATCTGCAGCTGAAGTTCAGAAGAAGACAGGTAACTTCTATGTCTCCATTGATGATAATACCTAATCGCACCAAATACATTCTTTTGGGAGGTGACCATCCTGTTTATTTT